TTTTTTTTTTTTTGGTTGCAGCGGTCATTGTTGTTTGGCCGGCCAGCCTAGATTCAAACCTGACACCTTAGGTGTATGTGGCTGGCACCTTAGCCGCTTGAGCCACAGGCGCCAAGCCAAGGAACCTATTCTTACTTACATTGTGTATTTGTTTAGGGTGGCTCAAAGCAGGAAGGCTTTATACACACATAAAGCCACTCTGGTACAGTCCCTAAAGTGGGATATGTCTTTGCCTGTACTACAGAACTGAATATAGGATCTGATATACAGAAGATTTTCAAAGGTGTTTTTCAACTATGACCAAGAAGGTCATATAGGAAGGGGAAATGAAGCTTTGCTAACAGTGCAGAAAATACTGTTAGGATGAAGGATGGGGGATGTCAGGGTCCTTGTCTTTTTAAGATTGAAGGTGAGAGGGTACGACCTGGAAAGGACACAGGGGTAGAGAGACAAACCCTGCTCTAGCTGCTCCAGATCTCAGCAATACTCCCAAACTCTATTAATCAGCAATTATATTTCTGGTAAAAGTGGAGGAGTCTGTCCTAAAAGCCTGTCTTTGCTCAACAACTGCGTAAGTTCCTCTGTTTCCACTAGAGGGCCCCATGTATTCATTCCCTTCCCTCTCCATTCCCTATCAAAAAAGGGTGTGTGTGTGTGTGTGTGTGTGTGTGTACACACAATACACACGTATACCCTTCCAGTCAAAGATCTCCTCTCCCCCTTCTTCCCACCCCCAGGTGTAATAAGAGGGAGGATTCCAGGAACCTGAGGCTTTATTTCTCAGTCTTATTTCAGTGAGAGGTAGGAGGGAGTTAGGGGTTGGGGCGGGGCCAGTGAGCAGGATGCCTGGGTCCTGGGGTTCCTACCAGTAAGTCCATTGGCCTCTATATCTTTCTCTTGCTCTACCAGGCTTACTACTGTCTATCCTGTCCCAAGAGCCTTGGCAACGCTAGAACAGATTCCAGGCAGGACTGGAAGCTGAAAGGATTTCCTTTCATCCCCTACTTTTGGCCAGGGTCTTCTGCACCACTTGCCAAGGTCAGTAGGTAAAGTGGGAGGGTTACAGCATGGAGAAAAAGGGTAGACACAGACCCGAGTGTTCTTTGCATCCAAACCTCCACCCTAGAATTAAGGAGAGAATATGAGTCTTGAAAGGAGGTGTCCTTGGGGAAAATAGGTCTAACGGAGAGGTGAAGAACCTGGAGAAGGTGAGCAGATTGTCTTAAGCACAGTCAAGCAAGTTGGAGCCCATGAAGAGAGGAAGGGGGGCTCCAGGATATAGAGTCTGGAACTGTGGCCTCACCCCTGTGGGATCTCCTGGGAGTATGAAGTCCATGATGGAATGGAAAGGAGTTAGTTGGGTAGGGTGGTCCAGTATGGCAGCAGTTGGCAGAAGATGAGAAGTTGGTTGGGTGAACTACTGAACTCTTCAGTTAGCTGAGGGCCCCCTATTATGGCCTCCAAGGTTTGGATAAAGGGAACGTCTGTGAATGATCAGAAGGGAAAATAGAAGCAAGACTGCCCCAGGCACTGGAAGATGAGGCGCTCAGGAAGTGCAGAAAGTGGCACAGGCCAGAGAAATGGACATAGCCGGAGACGGGGGAGGCAAGTTATGGTGAACTGTAAACCTGGAAACAGGGGCCTCTCCCACTTCGACTTTCACAGAGCTAGGGGCGCCGGGCACGGGCTCGGGCGTGTGGTCTGGGGTTGGGGGAGGGTAGCTGTGTCGTCAGGAGCGGGGCGGCCCCGCGGCTGCAGCGTCTGCCTGGCCCGTCCCCTCCAACCCAGCCTGGGCTCGAGCTCCAGCGCCGGCGCTTCAGCTCCGATCGCGCACCCTTCCCCCGCCAAGGTAGATACCCCGCGATCCCCCACTGCCCCCTCATCAAGCAGGAGTGGGGCGCGGGAGGGAACGACCTGCAGGCTGGGTTAGGGCTGCTGGGTCGGGGAAACAGGAAGCGTGACAGCTGGAGCCGGTAGCTAGGAGGGTTTGCGCTGGAACGCGAGGGGCAGCGGGAGGGCTGGGCCAGAACCCGGTAGGCAGCGATTCCCAGCCCAGACCTTCCGCACCATCCCTCCGCTCACATGGAGGGACGGTGAAGCTGGGCTCCTAGCGACCCGACTTGGAGGAAAGTCCCTTTTGGAACCTCCACAATGCTGCAAGGGTGGAGAAGGATTCTTGTTTGGCCTCCTGGTCCCCAACTTCACACTCCCATCATTTCTCCACCTGTCACTGAGAAATTTCTGGAAATACCTAAGCTTGAATCCCACTTTTCACCTTTAAATAGGAGAAATAAGCTTAACTGAGGAAGAAATGCAAATATTATTGGGCATCACTTAAGCCTCAGAACATACAAGTCCATATCCCCAACCATGCCAACATGGAAACTTCCTCCAGTACTATGCAATGACACCTCCATGTACACACACCACACACACATACTACCCCCTTACCTGGGCAATACTACAATCTTTGATGTTTGTGGAGGTTTAATGAGTTTCAAGACTTCAAGCCAAATGTTCTTTCTCAGGGGCCACTGACTGGTAGCAGGGTTTGGCAGGGAAAGCTAGATCCTCAGTTCTGGGAGAGAGGAGGATATGGTTCCTGAAGTGGTTAAGGAATTCAGAAGAGCAGGTAATCAGGCCTGGGCCGGGGGGGAGGGCCTGCCCCTTAGGGTTTCTGGCTGGCACAGCCTGAATGTTCTGAGGGCATAGCTAGTTCTTGAGTAATGGTCACCTTATATTACTTGGAATGTGAGCCATGAATGCTGAAGTGAAAGGGAAATTTTAAATATTAGCACCAGCTCTGTAAATAATATTTATCGCTTGGTTACTAGAAATTTTAGTATTTGATATTTAAAATTAGATCTGGAGAAGACAGATACGAAGGTTTAGTGGAATGGACTAAGGGCAGGGTGTCTAGAAAGAGTCATATCTCTCTGGACCTCAGTTTCCTTTCCTGTAAAATATGTGGATCAGTGACTCCCATCTCTGAGAGTGTTTTAAGATTCTCTGTTTCCAAGTCAACTTCTGCCTTTCTCACCCTAAGTCGTCTGTAGGACCTGGCAGGGAAATCAGAGAAGGGTGAGTCACAAATAGCTGGCAGGCAGGCGGCAGACCCCACCCTCCCAGCCCTGGCATTCGCCTAGACTAGTCCAGGTTATAGCTTCAGGGTTGGGATGGAACTAGAGGACAAAACTGGACTTGTCCCAGGTCTTTAAGCCCCGGGATCCTGCAGTTTTCTGCCTTCCACTTCAGAAGTAACCAGACTTTCAGTCAGAGAAGTCAGGCAAACAATGGATAAGATCCCAGGAGCCCTTAATGTCTGAGGTCCCACCTTAGTGATGTCCTTGGACCCTGACCTCCAGTTTCTAGACACTCATCATCCTCCCAGAGGCAAAGTGCAGGGTCCTGATATCACACATTTGCACCTGATGTGTATAACGAGGCGGGGGGAAGGCATATAATTGGGCTTCACTGATGCTGGGAACCCCTGGAATTTATACCTTCCTGACTCAAAGACATTTTTTCCTAATTTCCAGATGTGTTTCTCTAAGAACACCCTTGTATAATAGCTAATGTTTAGTGAGTTCCAACACTGTGCCATGCTGTTTGCTATGTACCTTACGTATATCATCTTATTTCATATCTTACATTTTGACTGGTTTCTCCAGTACTCATTTTACCAATGAGAAAACTGAAGTTCAGGGAGATGTAACAAACTTATCCAAGAGCTTGCATTCTAAATCATGCCTGGGTAATTTGATAGCCTCTACTATATACCACTTCTCTAAGTTTACGACCTGGGCAAGAAAGAGTTAGGTTATTATAAAAAGAGGGGGAGGGGCAAAGTGTTTTGCCCTTTCTCCTCTTCATCGTTCTTTGTCTGCTCTCCGTCTCTCTCTCTCTCTCTCACACACACACACACAAACACACGTTCTCTCTTAGATTCTATCTCCTAGAACTTTGGAGTCATCTAAGAATCCCCAGGGATGATCAGAGAGGCTAATTAAGCCATATAGTCCCCATTAGCCATCAGACTGTTATGTATTCATTAGATCTATTAGCAGCAGAAGTTGGATTATAGTCATTGAAAAGGGCCAGATGGGCTCGGCGCCTGTGGCTCAAGCGGCTAAGGCGCCAGCTACATACACCTAAGGTGGCGGGTTCGAATCCCCAGCCCGGGCCCGC